GTGTGTGTGTGTGTGTGTGTGTGTGTGTGTGTGTGTGTGTGTGTGTGAAGAGATTTTCATCTGGTTTAATTAAGAATTATGTGATTTCTTCCTTAATCTTGTCTCTAGTTTTACGTTAAACCAGTCGCACATTCTGGACAGTTTGTAGGACTTTTGTGTGTTTTTCAATATCGTGCATATTTGCTATCTTTTCTTTTTTCCATTCGAATAATTTATATATGTTGATTTTATTGTTGATTCGTGGTTGCATATGTTGATAGAGAGATGAGCTTGCGTGTGTGTGTGAGAGAGAGAGAGAGAGAGAGAGAGAAGGAGAGTGAGTGAGAGTGTGAGAGAGATTATATATTGCTTGATGGGAATTTCGTAATGGATGCGTAGAAGTTTCGATTGGATTGCATTGGGATAAAGTGGTTTGATGATGAAAGGAAAGATGAAAATGAGGTTAATCTATGATGCACTTATAAATATCACACTGCTGAATGTTTTCTCACAAGTAAATATTCGGAGAATTGTTGGCCTTCAACGCCGCCACCAGTGCTGGCTTCAATGGTGAAACCGGCGTTCAGTAAACGGGTCAACACTTGAATTGAATTCAATTTGCAATATCCATTTAATGGAAATCGAATGACACTTCGACCATCCAATTGATTCCATGCGACATTTGTGCGGCCATCAAGCACCGCCTGATTGGTTTCCGGAAAGATTTCATCGAGTATGAAACGTTCAGCAGACAACATGATACGTTCACACAAATCGGGTGATATATGCAATGCAACAATTTCATATGTATCCATTGATTGATTGCGATTTTGATGGTTTTTCAAGCGTGATGGATTCATTGGTGACGTTGATTGCCCAAGTGCATTCATTGCCGATGTATTACCATTTCGAATGACACGATCCTTTTTTGATTGTTCTAGTTGCTTAACCATCGCTGTGAAAGAAGAGAAAAAAATTACAAATTAACTACCGAAACCAAATTTAATTGAAGAAAACGACATTTTACTTACGTCCAATTTCAAAATATCGTGCTTCTTCCAACAGCAAATCGATGTCAGCAAAATCATCGGGAATCAACAGTTTTGAATTGCGCATAAAATTCAAAATGTGCCTAAACATGCCACCATCACGATCAATAAAATAATGTTGTTTCAGCGAGTCCAAAACAATCGGAATGGTTCCGTTAAATAACTTGGCCAATCGCGAATCCGGATATTTGGTCAATGTTTCCAATGAGCTTGTATAAATTGTGCCGCCCACATCAATGTGTACCGGTGCCGTGTACCGTGACGCGGCCGCAACACATGGAATGCCAGTGATTGTCTTATGATTGCCATGATGATATGTGCTGGCTGTGCCGCTGCTTAATGCCGGCGATATTGGCGCTGGTGTGGTTGACGTATGGGTCGGTGACGATGAATTCGACACGGTTGGTGAACGAGTTGGTGATGTACTAATTTTTATTTGAGCCGATGTTGCTGCCGAAAATATTCGACCCGATGATGAAAGATCACGTGGTTCCATTGATGATAACATATCCCGTTCACGGTCCATTTCACATTTTCGTCTAAACGACAGAGTGAATAAAGAGAAGAAAAAAAAATAATACAAAATTATTAACGACAACAAAAAATATCAATTATTTCGAAACAATTTTTTTGTTGTATTTTTTTAATTCTTTTTAAATAGTAACTATATATAGCCAATAGGCTAATTTATTCATAACACTGTGAGCGATGATGTTGTACACTTTAAGCAATGTAAATTTGCTGAGCGCATGAAGTTTCTACGCGCAAAATATATCATTCATTTGAATTTAAAATGAATGCAAAGTTTCAATGAGCAATATTCGGGATTCTTTTTTTTCATGCGTTTTCTGTGGTCGGCTTTGATGGATAGGATATGTTTCGTCACTTCATCTCTCTCTCGCTCACACTTTTTGCGTGTCATGTAGCGCATAGCAGAAAATAACAGCACAAACAATTTAAAATATTGCTTTTTTTTTCAACGTATATGTGCATGTACATACCAGAATGGTATCGAAAGTAAAGTAAAATTAACCAAAACAACAAAAACGGTGTCAATAACGTTTAATGATTTCGTTGTCGTTGTTGCCGTCAGCAGCGAGCGAGCAAAAAGTTCGGATTTGCTTGCATTAGAAAGGCAAAAGCAAAAGTTCCGAGAAAGAGAGGAGATAATTTGCATAAAATAATTAAAAAAAGAACCTTAACGAAGAGATGAAGACAGAAGGCGGGAAAGAGAAGGGGCACATTGGCAAAAGAAAAATACCGAATGAAAATGACGGAGAGAAAAACTGTTGATTTTTGTTTGGAGGCCGTCGTTGTTTTCAATATTTTATAAAATCTATTTGCAAAGAACAAGTTTGACGTGAACATAGAGTACACAACACAAACACACATATTGGTTGTGTAAAAAAAGTCATTGGTGCAGATTTCGCGCACGCCAACCATTAAATCCAATGGTGCGCCCGTCTTGTATGCGAAATCACTTCGCTTCAGAGGATGAATTCGTTTTTGGATTTTGTGTCGTTTGCACACCTCTGTCTGTCAACGCTGTTGGCTCCTTTTTGTTGTGTATTTCTGTGTACACGAAATAAGTTTGTTGAACAGTTTTCACCGTTGCACGTCGGTATCGCTTGCGCCCACTCACTCGTTTTCTTCCCTTTTTTTCTCTCTCTCTTTCTCTCCCTCTGTTGGTTTGTTTGTATCGGAGCCAAAAGCTCTTGTTCCGGCGCGGTGCGATGTGGCACGGCTTCATTTTTTTCATGCACGAAGACAAGATGCTCTCATACATCATAGAAAATGCAACGGTGAATCTTTTTTTTCTCTCTCTCTACATTCGACTTGAATAACTTAATTTCGCCTAGTTTAAATCTCGCATACATATATTCTATTTACAATCTTCCATCACTTTTTGTAGCATACTCATGTTCGGTTTCATTTTCATCATCAACATCATTTTCTTTTTTAATCTCTCTCTCTCTTTCTCTCTTTCTCTTTCACACACTCATTCGGCGTGTCTTGCATTTGCTTCATATTTTTCCTTTTTAACGTGGATTATACGATCTATGTATACATGAGAAAACGTTTCTGTATTTTTGTTTATCAAAAAATTTCATTTAAAACTTTTATCGAGTTGATGTGCTGTGTGGCTGATGATGCTGTCGTTATTGTTATTTACCTTTTTGGGTTATTCAATGAAGTTTTCATTTTATTTTACATTAAAACTTCGTAAAAGCAACAACATTTTGCAATCCTGTGAGAACTCATTCTTTCTCTCTTCTCTTTTTTTCACCTCTTTTTCACAACATCTATCACTCATGCACTTCTACACATCCTCCGCTCCACTGAAGCTATGCACACACATTACTAGCCAAATCAAATCCTCATGTACATTGTACATGCATTTTTGCTAATGGATGTTTTCACAACCATTTTCTTTCTCTCGGCTTTTCGTTCATGTGTGTTCACTTCTTTCGCCCTCAATATTCATAAACACTTTTATTTATTTTTCTTGCTAATTCAGGCAGATATGGTATTAGGTATGCTTCCAATTTCACCTGCCGACTGCCTTGCACCGGCAATATGTGTAGCAAATGTCCTTTCCATCCAGTCGGTATTATGTGCACAATTTGTGCACGATGAAAATTAATACCGAAATATGCAAATACATTTCTTTCATCATGGCAAGTGCATCTTGAGGGGCCAATTTTACTACTTTTATTTCTTCCAATTAGGTTGATAGCCACAAAATTTTTGGATAATTTAATATTCTTCTTTGAACACACCGAGTGGAATTGACACATTAAAAAGAATACATATAATTAGCCGTGCCCTAGTAACATATCATTTTTTTGCGAATCTTGTCAGATCGAATTATGTGCAATGATTCGTGTCATGAAAAATGTGTTCTGAATAATGTCATTTTTATATTAAAAAAGGAGTGCCAGACTAGCTAGTCTTAGGCTTTTCTCATAATTTTTTCAGTCTTTTGTGACTGAAAGCGGTTGTTATTTTTTGTTTGCACCAAATGAGATGTCTCTTAATTTATTAAATTTAAGATTAGATTGTTAAATTATTCTCAATAACTTAAAGTTCTTTTATGGTCTTGATGGCTTCCAATTTTGGATTATTAATCAAAAGCGGAGTTTCGCTTGAAAAATCGCATTCGACGCTTTTCGTATTTTGGAACAGCGTTAGAATGGACTTCATTTAAATAGATTTCTCTCTCTCTCTCTCTCTCTCTCTTTCTCACTCACTTTCACTCCCTTGTAATTTTGATTGGAAACATTTTAAAACATCCACATGGTACACAACATAAGCCTGTTGGAAATGTTACAACTTTTTGAAATAATTAAAATTAATAAATACACATAACATATACACACATATATTTCGCTTCAAGCGAATATTCGTTTCATGTGCTCAACAAATAAAATAACGACAGTGTAACAACCAATATTATATTTACCGTTTTGGCATTTTTGCTACTATTGGATGAAGTGCCAAACCGAAAAAAGAACGAACGAAAGTTAAAGAGTTTACCAACGCACGCATCCATTTACTTTCTCAGTGCCAGTGTGTTCGTGTGCAGCTGTTGCGCGCCCTATCCACACCTCGAACACTTTTGTGAAGTTAATGACATTTTTTATCGCTCTCTCAAGCCAATGGATGGTCGATCGGCTTGACTTTTCCACGATTTTATCACTACATACATAATGACTGTGCGTGTGCATCAAAATATGATTAAATATTTGTTAAATTACCACATTAACATCATTATCAATGCGTTCGATTTTTTTTCGGGTTGCCAAAACTGTTGACACAATTTGTGATGGTTGATTGGAAATCAAAATTTGTGGTTAATTGGAAATTCAATTCAAACGAGAAAAAAATGCAGTTCAATACATTGGATGTTTGAGTACGAGTAGAAATATCAAGTTGCTAGACTTTGCATTTTGTTGGTCATTTCAAAACTCAACATGATTTACATTAAACAAAATTCAGAAAATTAACAAAACTTTTGCACTTTCATATGTTTTGTTGGAAAAAGAGTGCAAAAATGCATTCTTTTAATGGACAAAGACTTATTTTAACGGCTTTGAGTGATTTGAGAAAAATCATCACTAATTCCACGTTATTGTTTTTCGTCAAAGTACTACCTAAGCTCATATAATGAAATATTTATTTTTTTTTTTAATCTCAAATATTTTGTTGTGCATGACAATTCATAACATTCTTGTATACACATATAAAATCATATCTAAAAAGCGGAATGAACAAAATACACAATTAAATTGGCATTAAATGCACTAGACAAACGTACCAAGAACATTGTATGTGTATAATATTAAGTTTTCATTACGCGCACCGTGTACACATCATTTCATTTGATCAAGACTTTTGTGAAAATATCGAAAATTAGCATTAAACCATCGTCGCATATTTTTCATGTGGAAAAAAGCAGTGATTTTTCAGTTTATGTATGGGTATCTATATGCTTCTCGCTCTCTCTCTCTCTCTCTCTCTCTCTCTCTCTCTCTCTCTCTCTCTCTCTC